CTTGGATTGCAGATCGTGATCATTGGAGTTCAAGAAAAAGCAAAAGAGTTTGTGGAATTCATCAAAGGTATCATTCTCATCACAGTTTCTATCTAAACACATTGCAGATCCTCGTTTGGGAATTGAAAATTGTTTAATTTCCGCCGTGCATGATAAGTAAATTCCCAACAGCTAAGGCGTATAACAAGGTAGACTGGGAATTTCTTTATAAAGTGCTAGAGAAGTTTGGCTTTAATCAGCTTTGGATTGATAAAATCAGAAGGAGCATCAATAATTGTTACTTTTCTATTTTAATTAATGGTGAGCTTAAGGGGTATTTCAAATCTACCAGAGGGCTGAGACAAGGAGATCCAATTTCTCCCTCTTTATTCATCATTCTGGCGGAGTGTTTGTCGAGAGGTCTGGATAATCTTTTTTCTAGAAATGACGAGTTACATTTCAGATATGGGGGTGCTACCTTAGTATCGCATCTTGCATTTGCTGATGACATTATCATCTTTACCAATGGACAAAAACCTACGTTGAATAAGATTATGAGGTTTATCAGGCTATATACCGCAAATTCAGGACATGCTATTAACTGCAACAAGAGCTCTTTTATTACTAAAAAGGAGGTTCACAGAGTAGTGATAACTGAGACTACTGGATTTCAATACCAGCCTTTGCCTATGATATATCTGGGTGTTCCTCTGTACAAGGGGCATAAGAAGGCAGCCTTATTTGAGGAGTTGATTAATAAAATTAAAAGAAGGTTGCTGGGATGGGAACATAGATGGCTGTCTGCAGGGGGAAGGATCATTCTTATTAAACACGTGTTGAGTTCTATGCCAATACATCTACTACAAATCCTTGACCCTCCTAAATGCATCATTAAAAAAATTTCCAGAATGTTTAATGGCTTCATCCGGGGGGATTCTAGCCAGAGTAAGAAAATCCATTGGTCTTCCTGGGAGAATATTTGCTATCCAGTTGAAGAAGGAGGTATTGGCTGCAACTCCTTTTCTGATCTGAACTTAGCCTATGACTGCAAATTATGGTGGAAATTCAGGGAACAAAAATCTTTGTGGAGTCAAGTCTTGCAAGCTAAATATTATAGGCTCAGCCATGCTTGTGTTGTTAATCATAGCCCTCAACAGTCTGGGCTGTGGAGAAGGATGCTAAAAGCCAGAAACCTAGTTGAACCGCATATTGCCTGGAGAATTGGAGAAGGCAAAGTGAATTTTAAGCATGATGTCTGGCTTAAGTCAGGGGTAATTGAAGGAAGGCTGAAGCATATTATCCCTCAAGAGAGGCTTGTTAAGGATTTCAGGCTTAATAATGAATGGGACAATTCCACTCTGAACAATATCCTCCCAGCTGATGTGTTCAATGAAATTATGAAGATCCCTTTCAATAATGTTCCAGATAAAATCTTCTGGAAACCGAATGCATCAGGAGCTTTTACTATTTCGTCTTGCATCAACCTTTTCAGGTAGAGTAAAACAAGACAAATGGCTTATAAACAAATATGGGATAAGCATGTTCCTCAAAAGATTGCTTTTCTTTGTTGGAGGGTTTGGCACAGTTGGCTACCGGTTGATGATTTACTTCAGATTAAGTATGGGATACAATTAGCTTCTAAATGTCAATGCTGTAACAATTCTGAAAGTATTAGGCATGTTTTTCTGGAAGGGAGAGTTGCTAAAGAAGTCTGGGAATATTTCTGCAGGGGTATGAACGTTCATTATATCAGCTGTGGCCATCCAAGGGTGATGCTGATGCATTGGTTTCTGCAGAAGAAAGCAAGCTCTGGAGAGATAAGCAGTATTGTTCCTCTAGTTATTATTTGGTTTCTTTGGTTAGCCAGAAATAATGCCAAACATAAAAATTATCCTATAAAGACTGATAGGATTATTAAGCAAGTGAATGTCTTGATCAACGCCCTTCATAGGGCAGGGAGGATTAAACTAAATGGGGGAAGTAAGTGTAACAATTCGAGATCTATCAAATGGTACAAACCAGATCCAGATTGGTACAAACTGAATACTGATGGGGCTTTGAAAGCAAATTCATTGGCTTCATGTGGTGGAATCCTTAGAAATAACATAGGAGATGCTATCTGGGGTTTCTATGATTTCTATGGTGAGTGCTCGATCCTGGAAGCAATTATGCTGGAAACATGGAATAAGGAAAGTTTGGGTTGAATCTGATTCAAAGGTGGCAATTACTTTGATCAGACAAGACAATGGTCCATGGGAAGTACAATACATATTGCAATCCATTAGATGGCATCTAGAGATTATGGAGTGTAAAATCACACATACTTGGAGGGAAGGTAACCAAGCTGCTGATTGGTTTGCATCTAAAGGGTGTAGTGATCAAAAATTTAGATGGATGGACGGTAGTGAATTAGAAGGAAGAATTAAAGGAATTGTTCACCTTGACAAAATTGGCCTGGAATCTATCAGATATGTTAAATAACTAGTTTTATTGCATATTGTTTCTTGAGCTGTTTAGCATAGTGCTGATTTACTTATCTTTAGTTGCTTTGTAGAGGAGTTTTGTAATTCTTTTGGAGGTAAGATACATACGTCCCCCTCCTTGCATTGTTTCTGAATTTTTGCGATATAAAACCATATCCTACGGCTTGGATTTCAAGCTAGGATATTTTACCCCAAAAAAAAATGACAATTTGTAACTGAAATTTTATATATATAAAAAAAATGAAAACTTCATGCCTCACATTTAATGTATCTTCTAGAAAAAAAGAAAGACGATGGGTAAAGAATATCAATGGCGTCCGTGACTTAAACATACTGTAGTTTCTTCACTCAACTGGAAGTGAGAACTCATCGAATCTGGTTCAAATATTTTCAAATTTGAAGCCGAAATCTCACAATAATGTCACAGAATTGAATATATTTTTAATAAGTTGTATTTCATTCACATATTTGTCAAAGTCGCATTTGGTTATGTATATAAATTGTCATTAAATCAATATAAAATCTTTAAATTAAAATGTGTTGTTTGAATGTTTGCAATTCTAGCGATCAATTTTAGAAATTGAAGTTCAGAATTGGTCTTGTAATATGTCTCCATGTCTGTGTATTCAAGTAAGGACGAACCTAAGTTATTATCCTTTTTGATTTATTTAATTTTTCATGTTTTATTTTTACTATGATTTTATAGTTGAAAAAAATGTTACAAAGTATTGTTCGAATATTTATTAAAAATAAGTTGGGTGAGTAATTTCCACAATACTTCAAGGAATGAAGTGCTATTTTTATTTGAAAAGTTGTATAAGAAACTTGTTTCGTAAAATTAATTATTTCTTTTTTTAAAATATGTGGTTAAAATTAAATCTTGAGAAGAAACTTTTATGTTTTTAATTAAAAAAAAAAAAGAAAATGAAACCTAAACATAAGCTAAAACGCTCCATAAATTATATATATTGAAACTTTAGCTATGTCTATTGTCTCATTTTTGTTGAGATTAGAAGTGGATACAGTGAAAATTAAATGTAGCCAAGTTTAAAAATCTCTTAGCTTCATACATTAATTAATTTTAAAAAATAAAGTACTTTCTCAATTTTTTGGTATATTTATTCCTTAATTTATTATAATCGATTCGACCTTTTGATCATTTGTCTTTTTCATGTCAATGCATGGGTCGAGTTTTAAAACATTGATATTTAATACTGATGTGCCGCTTCTTGCAGGCACTTTGCTATGAATTTGATAAGAATGGCAAGTTTGATGCTCAAGTCCACGGAAGATTGCCATACGAGTTGCTAAAACCCAATCTAGTATTGCGCAATCTCCTGCTTTCTATGCCCCCAGCAACAAAAAGTATTAGCACGAATGTGTGAATTTTTATCTTTTACAAATTATTATAGCATATTTTTTTCTCGAACACAATTTTAATTCTAATTGTATGTTTTTGTGGATTTAGATCTCCACCAATGCCGATGAAGCTCATGCAGCTCATGTTTTCAGCAGGTTGTGTTTGCAAGATTGTTTCCAAGGTGTCATGTGCTTTGAAACTCTTAACCCTCCTATGGGATTGGGACCTCTTTCAAGCATAGAAGGGATGAATGAAGTACAAACTGAAAATGTTGAAACAAAAGTTCTGTGTAAACCTTCTGTACAAGAAATGGAAGCCGCCATTGCCATTGCCATTGCCATTGCCATTGCCAAGGGTGATAAAAAAAAAACAGTAATTACTGAAAACTTACCTAGTTAATGAACCAAGTATTTGCCTATACTGTGATGGCATGTTTAGAATGGTGGACGGGATAGTATTATGTAGTGTCAAGTGAAAAATGAGCATGTTTGGCTAAGCATATAAAAATTAGAAGTAACACTTTTTGAAAAAATTCTATCAAAGAAGTTCAAACATGTTAGCCAACATGCCAAAAATCTTATCAATGTAATGTCCAGTCGTGTCTTACTCATGTCTGTTACTGTATATGAAACATGTTATAGTAAATAAAAGCTCGTTCTTTTTTTTTCCCCTCTCTTTCACACTTCTTTGACGAAAGCGTATGGAAGTCGTTGTGAGTTCATGAATTTCCTAACGTCAAATTAACCAATTTTTCGCTGACCTATTTTCATGCAACAAAGTACGAATTGCAGGTGGGAGAGAGAATCTTTGGTGCCAAGAGCAGATTATGCTCTAAATAGCATTCATAATATTACAGAAGCCCTACATGAGATATGGGAAGAAGAAGAGGAGGAGAATTTGAGCCAATTATCCAATCTGCGGCAGTAGAAACTGTTGTCCTAGCATAGGCCACATCTGCTTCCAAAGTCATAGTTTATGGAAAATTTCACCTTATAACTTCATCTATTTATCAGAAAAAGTTCACAATTTTCAATTAATTCATACGTTTTTCAAGGTAAAACCTTTCTCATCCCCAAATCATTACATGAATTCCCAATTCTAACGCTTAAAAACCAACACATTTGGTGGTAAAAGCTGTGGGCAAAAGCCTTGAAGAAAGGTTTTGATTCTTGAAAAAAGAACCATCTTGAGGAAAAGATCCAGGAAGCATAATGAGTTCAAGTCACCAGAGAACTCACAACGGAAACGCCCTCCAGGATGCCTCTAAAGAAGAGGTCATTTGCACAAACGTGAACATGCGTCGCCCTCACCATCGCCATAGGAGAGGAGGCGCAACTGCGTGCCTGGTACGAGAAGTTGGGGAGATGGCCGCAAATATAAGAAATATGGCCCAACAAAATGCTGCCATGCAACATTTTTTGATGCATATGCAACAACAAGCTGGGTCCCAGGGGCCTCAACATGGGGCTTTTCGCCGGGAGGGCGAAGAAAATGATACGACGGCATACCCACCAATGTATGGGACGATGACCCAATGGAAAGAGAAGGCGAGGCGACACATCTGCCAACTACGTCACCAGCCACCATGGCGAAGGCACGCCCGTGGAGGAACGCTTTCCCCCAGAATATCCCCAAGCACTGAGCCTCAAAGGTTTGCTAATGTTTTCTACAGGATTGGACCCACCAGGCCTAGAAATAGGCCTCAACAGCCTCTCCCACTCACGAAGAGCGAGGACAACACTAAGAATATGAGCCCCATGAGATGCCGCCACCGCCTAGAAATAGGCGAGAAAGGGGGAAAGCGACAAACGCCAAAAATCAAGCGGGGACATGGCAACCCCGTTATCAGGCCGAAGAGGATGACCTTGAAAGCCCCTGCAGGTCGTTCGAACTAGATGACGATGATGAATGTTTACCATTCTCCCAGGAATTAAGGCGGGCTCTAGTCCCCACACACTTTGTACCACAAAAAATACCTAAATATGAGGGGAGGGTTGATCCAGCCAAACACCTCAACAATTACAAGACTCAAATGTCGTTGCGAGGAGCCTCGCCTGCACTAAAATGTCGAGCTTTCCACCTCACATTAACAGGGGCTGGTGAAATCTGGTACAGTCGTATCCTAACTGGCAGTATTCGAAGCTAGCCAAATCTAAAGAAGGCCTTCCTAAACTAGTACCTATCAAGCAAAGAAGGAGAAGCCCCTATCCAGATGTTACAGGACATGAAACAGCAGGCAGGGGAGACCTTGAAAAGTTATTTGGCTCGCTTTACAGACGAAATGACGTATTGCGAGCAGGTCACTACGAGAGGGGCTCAAGATGAACACTCTATTCTGGAGAGATGTACGAAGCAAGAACCCCACCACCTATGATGCCCTGGTGGAAATGATACAAAGCGAAATCGTAAACGAGAAATTGATTGACCATAAGAACCGGACCTCGATGGGGCTCTCACTGCCCCAGAGACAGAGAAGAGGTCCTGTATCCCACCTGGTAGATCAACAGTAGACCTAGGCAGGACAAGCTTTGGCAACTTCCACGCTAAATGTTGTGCCCTCTCTAGCATATGAAGAGGTTGGACCTGAAACCCACAGGCAGCCAAACATGCCCAAAGGAAGAGGCAGAGGAAGAAAGGAAAAAGAGCCTAGGGACAGGCCATACTGTACATACCACCGAACCTATGGTCATAGTGCTGAAAACTGCTCCTCCAGACCATATCATAAGGAAGTGGCTAGGGCCCCTGCTGCCGATAGAAACAACTACCGCAGCAAGTAAATGCCCATCCATCTAGATAAGAGTCTAGGTATAACCAAGGGAGAAGGGATCGCCGAAGCAAATCCCCAAGGAGAAACCACGAAGAAAGGGATAGAACAAGGGGTCGGAGGCCAGAGGGAGAACCCCCATTCGCTGTCGACAATGTACCCATCAGGGAGATAGATACCATAATTGGCGGCCCCTATATAAGAGGGAGCTCCAAAAATGCTCTGAGGAATTATGCGAGGAAAGCAAAGGATCCTCCATTGACAAATTACCTAGTCAGTAGCGCTAGTACGAATGCTGGGAGCAGCCAACGAATCACTTTTTCCCAAGAAGACGCCACAGGGGTTAACTACCCCCACTGCGATGCGCTAGTGGTGCTAGCCGTTGTAGCCATGAATGGTTTAAAGTACATGCTAGTTGATAATAGGAGTTCAGCTAATATCCTCTTCGGAGTCACTTTCGATAAGATGATTGTGGACCACGAGCTCGCCCCAATGACTGCCCCTCTGTATGATTTCACTGGGGACATCATCGTCCCCAGAGGAAGGATCACGCTAGCAGTAGAGATGGGGGAATACTCGTTTAGAGCCCAACACTTTATAGAGTTCTTGATAGTGGACCACCGATCCGCTTACTACGGAGTCTTAGGGCAACCTGCCCTGAAAGAATTGTAGGCGGTAACGTCCATACATCACCTTTGTATGAAATTTCCCACCAAAGAGGGAACTGCCACTGTGCGGGGTGACCAGATGAGTTCAAGGGAATGCTACCTTAGCTCCTTACGAAAATCTGAGCCCAGAAGAGTAAATATGGTCTTGTTAGATATCGAAATGGTTGACGCACCTGAAAAAGGTCTGAACCCTGAACAAAGGGGAGACGTCAGCATGATTGACTCCCCTGGAGCAGTCATCGAGGTGGATCTTGATCCACGGATCATGGAGTCAAACTCACAGGCTACTCCTGCCGAAGAAGTGGAGTCTTTCTCAGTAATACCTAATGACCTTACGAAGTCGTTACAAGTAGGAAAGGACCTCGAACCGGAAATAAAGGACAAAATTAAGCACTTTTTGCTCAGCAACTTGGACATCTTCGCCTGGAAACACTAAGACATGGTGGGAGTTAACCCTAAAATCAACCGACACTAGCTCAACTTGGGCACTAAATTCAATCCTTACAGGTAGAAGAGGAGAGCTTTAAATCTGAAGCGATATGCCGCATTAAAAGAAGAAGTTCATAGGCTCATATCGAATGGGTTTATCAGGGAAGCAATGTGCCCAAAATGGATATCGAACCCGGTGCTTGTGAAAAAGGGAAACGGCAAATGGAGAGTTTGCATAGACTTCTCCAACCTCAATCAAGCATATCCAAAAGATAGCTTCCCACTCCCAAGGATAGATCAATTAGTTAACTCCACTGCTGGTCACGAGCTGTTGAGTTTCATGGACGCCTATTCAGGGTATAACCAAATCCCCTTACATCCCATCGACGAGGAGCACACCTCCTTCATCACTGATCGATGTCTGTTTTGTTATGAGGTCATACCCTTTGGATTGAAGAATGCCAACGCGACCTACCTGTGGTAGTAAATAAGATGTTCTCCAACCTCTTGGGGAACATGATGGAGGTATACATTGATAACATGCTGGTGAAAAGTCTCAAGTCAACCGATCATATCAATCACCTGCAAGCTACCTTTGATATCTTAAGGAAGTATCGCATGAAGCTAATCCGTCAAAATGAACCTTTGGGGTCGCCTCTGGAAAAATTCCTAGGTTACATGGTAAATCGGCGTGGCGTTGAGGTGAACCCTGAAAAAATTAAGGTCTTATTGGACATGAGATCTCCCAGCAAGCCAAAAGAAGTGCAATGTTTAACAGGTCGCCTCGCAGCATTGAATCGCTTCATCACCAAGGCAACTGATAAATGCCTCCCTTTCTTCAAGTGTCTTTAGGGAGGGGAAGGTTCTGCTGGAGCCAAGAATGTAAAGAGGCATTCTAAGGGCTGAAAGAACACCTCGGACGAGCCCCCCTCTGTCCAAACCAAGAAAAGAGAAAATTTTGTTGCTATACTTTGTCGTGAGTGACGAAGCTGTAAGTTCAGTACTTGTGCGAGAAGAGGGTAATGTCCAGCTGCCTATGTACTATGTTAGCAAGGCCATCTTGCTGGCGGAGATCCGTTATACGAATATGGAGAAACTCGCCTTATCCCTCATGGTCGCCTCTAGGAAGTTGCGACCTTACTTCCGGCTCACAGTATACATGTTATAACAAGCCTCCCCCCCAGACAAGTGCTCCAAAAACTAGATGTATCTGGAAGACTCATGAAGTGGGCTATACATCTTAGTGATTTTGACATCACATACCGGCCAGGACCGCGATCAAGGGACAAGCAGCAGCAGACTTTGTCGCCGAATTCACGGGGGCAACATACATCAATGTCGAAATGGAACCAACCCACCCTCCAACATGGACATTGTTCATAGAGGGTTCACTGGAGAAGCTGGTACAGGAGCAGGGATCCTACTAGAAAGCCCTGAAGGCCACAAGCTCAACTGCGCACTACGGTTCGGTTTTAAAACATCCAACAATGCTGTTGAATACGAGGCGCTTTTGGCAGGCCTCAAGTTAGCCAAAGAAATGAAAGTAAGGAATTTAGCAGTTCGGAGTGACTCACAGCCCGTCGTCAATCAAACCAACGGCAATTTTGCAGCTAAGGATAAAGGCATGGCCGTATATTTGAAGTAGGTAATGGAGCTGATCCCATGCTTTGACAAATTCGAATCAGAGGCCCAGATCATCCTGTGCAACTCACGCGCCAGGAGTTCATGTATACCTGGGTAGGGGAAAGACGCCATCATCATTGCTCATTGAATGCACACGTCGCTCGAACCTTGGGAATCAGAATATGCAGTTGTCGCTCATTGGAAACCGACACATTGATTGCCCCAGGGTTTAGACCCATGAGGTTCATCCCAGGGCTCGGACCATGAAGTTCATCCCAAAGGGGTCGTGGAGAATCGCCTCTACAGACACCAGTCCCATGACTCCGAAATTCAAATAGAAAAAGAGAAAGACACGCCAGCTCTTGCCAATAAGCCAGGGTCGCAATCCCATTATTTCTCAGGCTTTAAAGTCCACGCAAGATATAAATAATCATACCTAGACTTGGGGGACTGATGTTACTTATATAAATAATCGCAATATAAAAATTTCACGTGACAAGCTGGCGAGCCCACAGGTGGTAGAATGGCAGACGACCCTATATACCGAGACTGTTTTCCCCAGGTGACTCCCACTCGAACCTTACCAATAAACGCATCGGCTCGTCTATGATGATATGGCGAGTCAACCAGCAAAAATGTCTAGTAAAATGATTGACAGGACAACACCCTGCCAACACCGTCCCCATACCTGCACGGTCAGATCTTGTCAGAAAAAGGACAGAATGAAATCTAAACATTAATGACTTGATTGGTTGTTGACCATGACAAAAGGCTCTCGCTATGTAGATGAGGCCATGTGCCTCCTCATCTAACGGCTCTTAATCACCATCTTCTACTATAAAAAATACACTTAGCACCATTTGAAGTTAATGCAAGTTTATACATTCAAAACAAACTTTGATTCTCCTCAATCCATTCCGTAGCCGACCCCCTCTTTATGCATCCAATAATTACAATACAACTTGTGAGATACTTTGGATTATTCTCCTCTATAATTTCACCTATAAAGTTGGCGATTTGAGCTTAGTGTGAGGTGATTCGGCTTGCGTAGACTTTAGTTTTTACTTTTCTGTTAGACCATATTTTGGGGTCAGTATATTTCTCTCAGTATGCACGCGTGTTCAGGGGTGAAGTGTTTCAAGGTGACGAAGATGCTTAAGGGAATAGAAGAAGAATGATGGTTGTGTTGATTGGATTGTGCTACGTGTACACAATATTTTACACCATCTTTTACACCTCTTCACATGAAGGGGCCTACACACAATAAAATATTTGTGGGTCCCTCCTCGATGTAAGGGGGTGTAAAAGATTGTGTACACCACAAGGTGTACACATAGCATTATCCGTGTTGAAATGGGTTCGGCTCGAAGGTCCATGAGCTCATTTTCAGACTAGTGGCCCAAGACAAAGCCCAATAAAAATGGAGCTCAAGTCAGAGAGTCTAATTAGAAGGCAAGAATTTTTTTAATGAAGTTTTCTATATTGCAAATAGGGAAATTATAAAAAATCACGTGTTTACAGTTCACAGTGCAAAATTCAAGTGCTAAAGTTTTTTAGTCATAATTCAGGTATTAGGTTAATAATTTTATATTTTAATAAATATATTAATGTTAAAAATTTAAAATCTTAATTTTTCATTTTTCCCCTTCTCCCATCTCTCTCTTCTTCCTCTCACTGCTTCCGTCTCCCTTCTTCAGCTATCGTCGTCGGAAACTAATACAGTTAGAACTCCCTGCAACACCTGAGCTCACTAACCGACGCAACATCGCACTCCCTGAGCAGCGGCGGCGGCACTGATGCGATCCATTATTCTTCTTTTTCATCCTTTTTTTTATGCGATTGGGCATGGTGTTGTGTGCATTGTTGTGGTGGTGGGGTGCAGTTGTGGTGTTGATGGTGTTATTGTGGTGGTGTTTTGGTTTTGTTAGGGGGTTTTAGGTGATTTTTATTGGTTGTACAGATAGTTGTGTTGGTGGCTATGACAGATCTGGCCGTGGTCGTGGTCCGGGTGGTTCTGATGGTTTCTGCCAGTGGTTTTATCGACGGTAGTGATGTATGTTGGTGAGGTTGTGGGTTGGATATTTTCGCAGATGGTGGGCGGTCGCGAAGGTGGTGGTCGTGCATGAGATGGTGGCGTCGTGCGACGATCTGTTTTGTTGGATCGACGGGGGATCTGGTGGGATCTGAGATGTTTTGTGTGGTGGCGTTTGTGGTTGTAGATCGGCGGTTGAGGTGGTGACCGTGCTTTGTTTGGTGGCTGTTTGAATTTGTGACCTCGAAATCATCCGTGACTAATTAATTTAATAATATGTGACTAATAAATAAATTGTGACCTATAATTATGTATCTGTGACTATTAATTGTATAATTGTAACTTAATTAATAAATATTTTTAATTAGTTACCTAATACCTGTGTTTTGAATTGTTAAACTATTTACCTAACTTTTGAATTTGTGTATACTATACACTCTGTGACTATTAATTGTATAATTGTAACTTAATTAATAAATATTTTTGATTAGTTACCTAATACCTGAGTTTTGAATTGTTAAACTATTTACCTAACTTTTGAATTTGTGTAAACTATACACTTGAATTATGAATTTGTCACTTTCAAATAACTTAAAGCCCGAAGTGTTTTACATTGAGAATCATTAGTCATGGAAAAGTAAAGTTGTCTAGACATAGAGGGTTTGGAATATAGTAAAACACACCTTCGAGTTGGTTTCTAAAATATTTTCTACTTGGATAATTTTTGTTATAATTATACGAGATTTTCCATCATCTTTCTTTACTAAACCAATTCAAGACTTTAGATCAATTGTTGTCTCGTTTCTATACTATGCTCATATTTGGTAGATATTAAAATCAGATTTTTAGTAAATTTAGATAAAAGTTAATAAAATGTGTAGTTAAAAGTTGTGTGTCCCATAAATACTTGATTGAAATTAATTATTGGCTTTGGTTTAAAATTTTAATTGAATTTTAATCCAAACCAAACGGCGGCTATAATTGCGTGTGGTCTTTCCGTTTGAAATGTTTACATTGATTTTCCCTCTAGCAAAACTATTTTTTATGACATCACTTGTGTAATTGTAGCTTTCATAGTGATCATTGTTTAATACAAAAGACAACATCTTTGTGATAACATTACTCATCTTGCACTAATATCGTTAGTGTACCGGAGTTGAGAACTACGGTCTATAGATAATGAATAGAGTATATGGATTCTACTTTATTTTGTAACAAATTCGCTAGAAACGGGATAATATGTATGCTCCTAAGATAAATTATTTATTAGTCCTTGTTGGGTCATCATTAAAATTATAATTTATTTTTCTCTCTCTTCTTATCAATCAAACATCTTTCAATAAAGAGTAATTCATCCCCAGTGGAGATGAAAATACGGTCTAGGTGGCGCTGATGTGGTATAAAATGAAAGGTTTCACCTATCATTTACAGTCATCTAGACTGTGTTTTCATCCCCAGTGGGGATGAATAACATTACTCTTCAATAAAATAACATTACACGTAATTCAAAACTTTTTCTTTTATTTTAACCACATATTTAAAAAAAAAACATTATTTCAATCATAATTTCAAATAATGTGAGAAAGCTAAACTTTTATTTTCATAGAAAAAAGAGGCTACGTGACGTGTCCGTTTATCCAAATTCCTTACCTTCTACAGTCTACTGGCGAAAATTCCAAAACCCCGCACAGAAGGAATCAAACAAACAAGTAAAGGTCTCCACAACATCAAATTTCACATAAAACGAAGTACAAGGTGATCAATTGATAAATTTTTAAAATGGTAATCACTCAATCCAACATCAATCCGGCGATTCATTTCGCCTCCTCCACCATCTGCCGCAGTCGACACCACCTCCTCCGTAACTGCTTCTCGCTCCCACGCGCCGCCGCATTTGGCCGCTCGCTCACCCTGAACACCTCCACGACAAGAACCCGAGCCTTCTCAACCAACGATACTCAAGATGAAATAATCGCTGATGTCGAGAAACTACCGAACAAACCGCCTATATGCACCGCCGACGAGCTCCACTACGTCTCCGTCAACAATTCCGGCTGGCGCCTCGCCCTCTGGCGCTACACTCCCTCTCCTCAGGTTCCTTCTTTTCACATTTACATACATAAATGCATATTTTGCTAGTTCATGGGCCAGGTTGCAATTTTTCCGCCGAGGCGGTGTTAAATGAGCTATTGTGATTTTCTATGTATAAATTGCGTTAGATATCATGATCCAGGTAGAAATTTATCACTTGATGAGCAGAGTAAGCTTCTATACACACACGTTGCAGGAGACTACGTTTTATACAATTATAGATGAGCTTCTCTAAATTTTTGGACGTGTTGCTGACGGGGATAATCAAACTTTGAGATTCTGTGCTTGTTTGTATGATCTTAACATTAGGCTATCTTTTTTGGAGAAAATTGTTCTCTTTTTATGGGATACAAGTGACTATTGCTGTTATATGAAAGAGAATTTATTTAAGTGTGTTGTTTGAATTGTTTGAAAACAGGCACCGCCACGTAATCATCCTCTGCTGCTGTTGTCTGGTGTGGGAACAAATGCCATTGGATATGATCTTTCTCCTGGGGTTAGTTTATATCACTTCTCTGCATGTATAGAAAAAGTTTTAGTTGCCATCTGTAAAAAGAGGAAGGAAAACAACCAGCTTTAGTTTAATCTTTATGAAATAATTATGTAAGTGTTTTCCACTTTTCCTTGTTCTTATTCAGAAGTAGTTTAGGAGTCCTCTTGGCCTATTCTTGTGTTCCCTCTTGTGCACTGGAAACTTTTGAAAGGAATGGTCAGTTCCTGAAACAGACCTCAACTGGGGGCAAGATTTAGTTGGGAGTTATCCTATTAATGGATCATAAGTATCTATCTGTATAGATATAAATTCGTTTTTTTTTTTCTTTTTCACTTAAGATAAATGATGAGATCTATTATTTCTCTTTGCATGTCCTCAAAAATTAAGCTAAAGTATTGAAAAAACTAACAGTTACTATAGATAAAAAACCTGCCTGTTATTTGTGTATTGTTTCTCTTGAAATGCTGCATGATATGCATTGATTGGGAGTGAGAGCATTTTATTTTTGCTATAGGAGGTCCAAGTAGAACAGTATGTCAAAAAGATACGATTAATTTAACAATTATGCTATACTTATCTAATAATTATGCTATATTCTAAAATAATTTTCTGCAGTCTTCATTTGCCCGTTACATGTGTGGTCAAGGATTTGATACTTGGATTCTCGAAGTTCGAGGAGCTGGATTGAGCATGCATGGATCAGATACTAAAGATGTTGAGAAATCAGCTCATGCAATGTCTGAATTCATGGAAGCTGCAGTTGAAAATGTAACCAATGGGCTTCCTCCCGGAGAGCAGCAGTCAACCAATACCCAGAATGCCTTGGAAAAAGCTGAGATAGCTGCAGTCAATAAAGAACCAACAGGGATTGCAACAGCATGGGATGAATCAAAATTGGTGACAAAATTGACAGAAACATTTATGCGCTTATCTGAAAGACTCTCTGGCTTTCTCAGTGAAAGTCAATTCAACATAATGTCTGCTAAATTTTTTGATCAAATATCAAGACTCTTAGAGGATTCGTTCATTTTTGAACGCTTTATTGAGGTAAGGGGGAAATTACTGAGTTTGCTGGAAACAAGGCAGAACTCTGCTGTTGCTGGCCAAATTAGGGATCTAAGTAGAAAACTAGTAGATATTATTGAAGAAGGTCAGCTTTCTGTTTCACCTCAGTTGTTTGATCTGCAAGAGCGACTAATTACTACCATAGAAGATTTCCAGAAGCAATTGGATTTGATTATCAAATATGATTGGGACTTCGATCATTACCTTGAAGAAGATGTTCCTGCTGCGGTGAGGTGACATTTCTCCTTGTTGATGGCCATAACCATGTTATCACCCTTTATTTAAGCCCATAGTTCAAGCTAAATCATAATTTTCGACATCTGATGACCTTTTATGCTAACTAAATATTTCTTTCTTACTGGCATTCATAATCATTGTGCTATCCATTTCCCATGTTGTAGATGGAATACATAAGGGCCCAAAGCAAACCTAAGGATGGTCGATTGCTTGCAATTGGACATTCAATGGGTGGTATCTTGCTATATGCGATGCTGTCACGATATGGTAAGTTGGACTTCTATATTTAATTTATATAAATAACATTAATTTTACTTGTGAGTCACTTGAAAACGTGCAAATGACTATTGTAAGAGCATCTCCAATGCATTCTATGAATTGTAGTTTACGTTGTAGGTAAGTTGAAGGACTTGTAGTCTATGTGGTATTGGTGTCTAATGAATAGACATTAAGCCTAAAATTGGTCTATATTAGGTTCTATCTGCCGTCGTGTCTTTTATCTACTCTAAAATAATAAATAAATAAATAAAATGAAGAAGAAGAAATGAGAAAATTCAATGCTCTAAAAACATATACAAAATCAAATAAGTTATTGGGTCAACATGTCTAACACAGTCCCTAAATTAAATGGAGCTCTAGATAATGTCTCTTTCTTTTTGGTCACATCAGCTTGACATAGCAAGTCACATGGCATTGAAGATTGTTTTTAATAAACACTGTCTCTTTCGCTTATTGACAAATTTTTTGAAGGTAGGGTTGGGCTCTCCAACTTTTCATGTATTGCAACCTATTTAAATGGTGACTTTGGGTCCCCAAGCATCCAAAACCATTGGTATAAACGTTGAAATAGCACGGGACACACCTAGAGTGTAAAACTGTCAAACCACTGGACATTTATTTCCAATTTGTATGATTTTAACGTTCAAATTGACGATTTTTGTCACATGGAGACCCAAACTCACTCCTATTTGGACCCAAAACCTCAGTATTGAAAGTTGGACCCAGATTTATACAATATGTTAATAGAAGTACAAACAACCAGATCTCCGATGTCATCGCTACTTGTATGATCTTTAGAGATTATCAACATATTTGATTCCCCTATTATCATTCTTGTTATACCATTTTAAACATTCTTTTTCTCATCTTCCACTTGCAATGGTGCATTCTCCTTTCTCTTTCCATTCCCCTTTCCATATAAAGGAGACAAAATAAAAAAGATCCGCAAAATGTTCCTGGCTATAAAAAAGAAATAACTAAAAATTTGATTTCAGTAACACACCTCAGTTGCCTGTAAGCCTCAGTAAATACAGGCTTTTAATGGAAGCCTCAAGCAAGCATGCCTCAAGGTGCAAGTCTCAGACAACTTTCTTAAACAATGCTCTATATATTATGTTTGTGTAATTTTCACGATTGCCCTTTTATGATATGCACATTTCAGTAAGTACAATTTGTCCATCTCTGAGTCGTGCCATTTTCTCATAATGCATTTAATTTTTTAAAGGTTTCAAAGGAAGAGATCCCAAATTGGCAGCTATTGTAACATTAGCGTCATCACTTGACTACACATCTTCTAAATCATCACTCAAACTACTCCTACCCCTTGTAAGTAGCATTTCCTCGTTGGTCCATCTCCTTTCTGATTAAAGAAAATTATTACCTCCTCCTACTGAGCAGTACTAAAATGTAGTTGTCTTGCAGGCTGATCCTGCACAGGCTCTCAATGTTCCTGTTGTTCCATTAGGAGCATTACTGTCTGCAGCTTATCCTCTATCGTCTCGTCCACCTTATGTCTTATCATGGCTCAATGACCTAATATCAGCACAGGATATGATGCATCCAGAGCTGTTGAAGAAGCTTGTTCTAAACAACTTTTGTAAGTCAAATGTGTTCCCACTGCATATATTTATCGGATTGCCAATTCATTTACACTCTTAATAGTTGGGTGGGTATGGATATGGATCATGAGCTAAATTAGAATGCAACATGGGGTCACATTCACTAAATGGGAACAACTGCCACCACCTCCCCCTTGCCTATAATGAGATATGAAAAATTTGTTGTTCTTGTTTTGTCACATCTAACTATTATCAAATATCTTGTTCTGCGTCCGCTGAAACGATTTCTTGAACACAAGTCGATGCACCAATAAAGGGTCAAGGGCTTCAGTCTGGCCTTGATGCATCAATCGTCTACTTATTGAACATGGAAAAGCTGGAATTTCTATAATTCATAAGAATACATCCAAAGTTATGGAATTTACTTATCTTGAGCACGGAAACTGTTAAACTTGGCATAAATCAATATCTATGTCATTAATTTATAGAGTTTCATCACCACTGGCAGGTACTATTCCTGCTAAACTTTTACTGCAGCTGACAACTGCTTTTCGTGAGGGGGGACTCCGTGATAGAAGTGGTAAATTTTTCTACAAGGATCACCTTCACAAAAGTAATGTACCTGTCCTAGCACTTGCTGGAGATCGTGACTTAATTTGTCCTCCAGAAGCTGTATATGGTGTGTGGTCTTGATCCTAAAACTTTATTACTTCCCGTGGTGCATACTATACCTCATTCATAAGAATAATGATTCCAATATAGCAAAAGTGTATGGTCTTCAAGCAAATTGATTCAAAATGAGTTGATTCTGTGGGAGTTATTTTATTTACTTAACCTTTCTTTCGTCTTCCATGCATTATCTCAAGCAGAAACGGTGAAACTCATTCCCAATCATTTGGTTACATATAAAGTATTTGGGGAGCGTGATGGTCCACATTATGCTCATTATGATTTGGTGGGAGGACAAATGGTATGTGGATGTTTTCCTTTCCTCGATTGTTTGACCACTGACCCACCTCCCAAACTTATTCACTCACTTTAACAATTCAAACTTTATCTGATACTCACAGGCCGTGGAACAATTATACCCTTGTGTAGTCCAACATCTAAGCGATTATGACAGTACTTAATTATCAGAGAATGTGCTGTCATGCAGCAGTTGGTAAGCAGCAGTCTTCATATTCGATGGGCATTACATACCTCTTTCTCTTTCGACTTATTTGCTCATGGTGGCACACTTTCATGATGAGGTGACCAAAAGGGTGAGCAACAGGAACATCTAGTACCACTGCATTTAACAGAATAAAATACAATGTGTTGTCATTATCTTTACTTTCTTCGTGCTTCTATTTTTTTTTAATGCTTATTTCCAAGCATTGGATTCAGATGTCTAATTTTCCCTCAGCTAGTCAACAAATGATTTTTGCAGTGTTGGGGGTTGAGACGATTCGTGGACAGTAAGAGTTGTGTAGTGTCTAAAGATCGCATGCAACACCCCTCTCCTCTTCATCTTTCATTCATTTTGTTTCCTGCCACTAATTTCTATTACGAGAAGTGCAACACCTCTAAAGTCTGAACATGCATTTTATGTTATTTTCCGCCACAGTTTGGAGATTTGTTTGTTGTCATATGAACTTGTGTATGTTCCCAAAATTTATTAAGATGCAGTTCTCTTGATTAGCCTGCTTTTCATTTATGTTTTGAGTATTGAAATGTGGAAAAGTCATTGTCTACTTCAGCGTTTGTATTTTTTTAGTCTTTCGGGGTCATAAATTGCATTTTTGCAAACCACTTATTTCAGTCCAAAATAATGTACACAATTTAGCCCCGTTTGGTTTAACTAAAAATTAGATTTTGACTAGATTTGAATAAAAGTTGATGAAATGCATGATTGAGAAGTTGATAAAATTTGTACGTCCGTGGAATGTATGATTAAAATTGAATTTTAGAAAAATGTGGGCCAAACAGGGTTCAATATGTGCATGGAACACTCTCGTGCCTTTTCATTTGATCCAATATGCTTAAATTACGTGTATCGAGGTTGGGGAAATTACATCCACACCTGGAATTAGATTTCCAATNGGTATGTGGATGTTTTCCTTTCCTCGATTGTTTGACCACTGACCCACCTCCCAAACTTATTCACTCACTTTTAACAATTCAAACTTTATCTGATACTCACAGGCCGTGGAACAACTATACCCCTGTGTAGTCCAACATCTAAGCCATTATGACAGTACTTAATTATCAGAGAATGTGCTGTTGTGCAGCAGTTGGTAAGCAGCAGCCTTCATATTCGATGGGCATTACATAACTCTTTCTCTTTCGACTTATTTGCTCATGGTGGCACACTTTCATGATGAGGTGACCAAAAGGGTGAGCAACAGGAACATCTACTGCCACTGCATTTAACAGAATATAATACAATGTGTTGTCATTATCTTTCCTTCCTTCGTGCTTCAATTTTTATTTTTTTTATGCTTATTTCTAAGCATTGGATTCAGATGTCTAATTTTCCCTCAGCTAGTCAACAAATGATTTTTGCAGTGTTGGGGGTTGAGACGATTCGTGGACAGTAAGAGTTGTGTAGTGTCTAAAGATCGCATGCAATACACCTCTTCTCTTCATCTTTCATTCATTTTGTTTCCTGCCACTAATTTCTATTACGAGAAGTGCTACACCTCTAAAGTCTGAACATGCATTTTATGTTATTTTCGGCCGCAATTTGGAGATTTGTTTGTTGTTATATGAACTTTTGTATGTTTCCAAAATTTATTAAGATGCAGTTCTCTTGATAAGCCGGCTTTTCATTTATGTTTGGAGTATTGAAATGTTGAAGAGTCGTTGTCTACTTCAGCATTTGTTTTTTTTTGGTCATTTGGGGGTCATAAATTGCTTTTTTTGGCAAACCACTTATTTCAGTCCAACATAATGTACACAATTTAGCCCATGTTTGGTTTAACTAAAAATTAGATTTTGACTAAATTTGAATAAAGGTTGAGAAGTTGATAAAATTTGTACGTCCGTGAAATGTATGATTAAAATTGAATTTTAGAAAAATGTGGGCCAAACAGGGTTCAATACGTGCATGAAACACTCCCGTGCCTTTTCATTTGAACCAATATGCTTAATTTACATGTATCGAGGTTTTTCCATCAAGAAATAAATAAAATCGAGCTAATCACATGCAAAACAATTTGAGGACCCGTTTGGAAGAATTATTTTACTACCCTTCTCTACCATTGTTCCGTAAAATTATTATTTGGTTGCTGGCTGTCCTTGTAGGAAATACGTTGAAAATTGAAATTAAGTTTGAATCAAAAATGTTCTAAGCATACTTTTTTGAATTGTTTGAGGAGTTTGGTTCGCATTAATGTAAACCAATAATTGCAAGAAAAGTATACAATTATAAACTTATACAAGTACAATATTATTTTAAATATTCCTACCAAGAGATGCTCCAAATTCAAAATACTTTAAAGCAAATGCTTAAAAAAAAGCTCCGAAAGACTATATGATTGAAAAGACCAAAAAAAAAAAAAAAAAACTCCGAAAGATGATATTGTGATCAAATAAAACGTTTTGAAAAAATGTAGGAACTATATTTTATTTTATTATATTATCTAGTCATTAATTCAATATTGTATAATACCACACGAAATGCACGTTGACAATTTTCGAACCCAAAATCTACCACTTGGTGTAGATTTCGAGCACGGTAGGCATGATTGGCGGATGGCAATTATTTCAAACAGTGGAAAATGTGAGATATTCCCAACAAGAATTTTTGTGGTGCTAAAAATTCGTGTGCCATACCAATTTATTTTGATATCATAACAATTTAAAAACACATAACATAAACTCTACTTATGAGTTGCCATGTTCCATTTCACACATGAGAAATTAAGGACATGTCAATGGCCAGAACTTTTGTGCCCTAGCCTGTCTTTACAATTGTCATGTCTGCTTTTCTATTTTGTGCACACAAGGCCAGAAATCTTAAAAGTAAGCTAGAATGTACATCTAGCTTAATTCTAAAAGCAATATGCAAGAAGATTAAAGTTTAATGAGTTCCTATCTCACAAATTTTGAGAAACATTTGTTCATTTGACCCCAATATGTTTTGAAACAATAATGTTATTCATTATTATTGTAGTATTCCAAAAAGTCTATCTAGGTGCTGCACACACCTTTTTGTTTGGCGAGTGGCATTGGCTTGTTTCAAAATCCAAACAGACAAAATTTTCAATCGCATTATTGCAGTGTTTCAAAAAGTCTATCTAGGTGCTAGACACACGTTTTTGAATGGTGGGTATTAACTTGTTTCAAAATCCAAACCAACAAAATTTTCAATTGCTAAAACTTCAAATGATGAGAAGTTCAACAAGAAACCTACCATAAACCAAAATTAGCCCACAACCTAGCTTTCTCTTTTCATGAACAAAGCATTATTGATTTAGGGTATTTATGATTTTGAGAACTATGTTTTTATTTAAAAACTTGAAAAATAGGTATGAAATTCCTATAAATTTTCAAAGTGGCATTATTATCTTTATTTATTAGTCTAAAATAATACTAAAAAAATGCATTATGATGCATAGGCACGTAAACCTTGATTAATAGATATCACCACCAATAACAATGAAAAGAAAATTTAAAAAAGATCCTAATGTCTACCCCGGTAGCAGTTGCCTTGTTTGGTTTAGTAAAAAAATAGATTGTTAGTAAATTTTAATAAAAAGTGATGACATGTATGATTGCGTATCTCATAAAATCTGTGATTAAAAATAAATTAAAAAAATGAGTTTTAAACAAATAGAGCTAAACAAAAGCTAAAATGTTTGATTCCACAAACTCCTTAACGCACTTTTCATCACAATATATGTATTTCCTTTGAGATGACTCTAAAATTCTTCTAAGAGGGTAGGGTTCGTAAGCCTACTAATAGTCGATCTATGTCTAAAACTTCTCTAAAGATAGTAGGAAAGATCGTAGTCATTACTCCCTCCGTCCCAACTATATAGTCTGAGTTTCATTTTTCTCTTGTCCCATATATATAGGCTTGTTTCCTATTATAAAATATTTTATTGTATTCATTTACCAATATACCCTTATTAAATTTTTCTCACTTAATATGTCAACTTGAAATCATCCAAATATACACATTTCTCACTTTTTGAAAACATGAAACAACTCTAATTTATTCTTCTTTTTCAAATTCTTTACTAGTTCCAACAATAATTTACTTTTACATATTGAAAATTAAATATGGGTAAATTAGGAAAGATCTTGATAAAAATTAATTTTTCAATGACATTAAAGAAACTTTTTTAATCTGTGTAAAAAACGAAACAATCCTATATAATTGGGACGGAGGGAGTATTTAGCCCCTACTATCCAACATCAACATCGCCTATTTGATCCTTGATTAGCTTCTAGACAAACTTTGTAGTTAAAAAATCCCATACTACAACATTTTCTTAAGTGCGACTCGTGTACGATGCACCACGATTAAGATCTCGCTCCAACTTGTGTGTCTCATACGAATTTGTCACGGAATTCAAACATAAACCTTTAAACATTTATGTTAACGTTACCAAACATGGACGTAATAACTACTCATAAGCATTCATCGACTAAAATATGTAAATTGGACCAACATTAAGAAAACTTGACAAAAAAATGAAAAAGGACCAAATTACAATATAAAATGTGTTAAAAATGAGAATTTCTAGACTAAAGTGTGACAGTTTATAAACTTTGCGGGCTAATGGTGTTATTTACCTGTACTTTCCTTGGAAAAGTCTATAATGCCCCCAATTCCCACCCATCTACGTACCTCAAATGAGACCAAGATTTCTCGCTAATACTGTCATGGGAAAAATTCCAAAGAAGATTGTTCACATGCTTGGAAAACTGATGATTTTCTGACCAGAAGAATAAACAAACAAAAGGTCTACAATAAGAGCAGGAATAAGACGAGCAAATAACGTTCTTATACATGTACACACGTGAAGAAACAGGCACGGCCTATAACGCCATGCTCTTGAAGCAAACCTAGAGTCAACTAGCCTTTTTGGCACTCGAGAAAAGAGATTCTACAGCAAGTGATGTGATCAAGAAATCTCGT